AAATAAAAAATAAAAAGATATTAATAAGGATAATATTTTCAAACATAAGGATTTAAAATTCGTATTCCCATTACCTAACGGCATCATCATGCATGCTTCACACTCTGGAAAACTCCACTGTATATTCCTGGGAGAATAAGAATGCAACAGGCAAATGATGTCTCATGAACTCCCTGAAAGGGTCTCAGAGACACTGGGGTGCTTGTATAACACTTTGAGAACCCAGACTTTGAAAAACACTATTCAAGAGAAAGCTCAATCTGATCCTAGGCAGACTATACCAAATAAATCCAATTAGCTAAATTTCGCTCCTTGTGTTTCCCTTTTATTCTCCCTGAGCGAGAAGGTCTGATGGTTAATTCAACAACAGTTTTTCATCAGTTAATTAATCTAAGGCAATTTAGGCATGGCAATCCCCTAGCAACTGGTCTAGGGCAATCATAATGTCCTAAGTTGACTCCATCGGAATGAAAAGAAGGATTTTTTTTTTTTTGATAGGCAGAGTTAGACAGTGAGAGAGACAGAGAGAAAGGAAAAGAAGGATTTTAAATTCCACGGTGGCAAGGAAAGGGGAGAGGTTTTTTTTTTTTTTCTCCTGAGTGTGAACTAGGGATGCTACTAGCCAGACTGTCTGCAATGCTGTTGCAGAGTGGGAAGACAGAAAAGACACAGGGTATTTGGTGATAGTGAGCTAATTAGACTGTGATCGCCACCTCCTTCATCTCCAAAAGGACTTTGCAGGTCTGAGTTCTCACAGATACATTTCATTATTGTTAGTGTTGGGCTTTTCTGTTCCTCACAGTAAAAGGTATATTAATACACTGAGATTTTAGGCAAGCCTTGTGATATACCCCATCCTATCTTTGCTGGTTTGGAGTACCTTAAGTACTTTAACACAATTTGTATGTACCCTACCAGGCACAGAACCTACAAGTTTATAGTTGGGGTTAGTGATCAGAAATTTGCAAGATGAAGCTGTAATTCAGAGGACAAGAGCTAGGACTCCAAAGTTTGGCTGTCCCTTCCCTATGTGTACTCTTGTACCTGCACATTTGTGGCCCCAGAAGCTGTATTGTATTAAGGCAGGCCCTCATTGCTTTACAGATGCTGATGTGCTCGCTTTACAAACACCTGATCCTATGAGTCTGTTCAGATGTTGCCCCTTTATGTGCCCATCACAGCCTCAAGCACACTGCATTGTAAATACCAGTCTACCCAACTAGACTAAGCTTAAGAGTTCGGGGATTATTCTATTCATCTTTGCAGCCCTAGGACTCTTCATTGACTGATACAAAATAAGTTTGTAGCAATGGTTGAAAGAATAAATGAATGGTAATTTGGCCTATTTTCACATGGCCCATGAGCAATGAATGGTCTTCACATTTTTAATGGAGAAAATCAAAAGAATCATACTAGTTTAAAACTCATGAAAATAACATTCTGGTGTCCATAAATAAACTTTTATTTTTACACATCCATGCTTACTCATGTATGTATTGTCTGTATCTGCTTTCACACTCTTTAACAGCAGACTTGAGGAGTTGTGAGAAAGACCATATGCCCCAGAAGGATTAAAATATTTACTGGATCTTTACAAAAAAGGTTTGTCAAACTCTGTTATAATATTTCTTTTTTTCTTTCAGTAGAGTTATGACCTTTACTCTTTTTCACTCATTGTTTATCTTAATTACATTGCCAAATAGCATGTGCTGTATAAAGAAATATTTGACAATTATTTCATAATACATGATTAGTGGAGACAGTAAGGAATATTAAATTTAAATAGGGAGAGACTATATAAGATCTGAATTTTGTAAATTAGATTCACTGGTGAAATATTTTAATTTTCTACCAGCACTATTGCTTAATTATGCAGAGACAGGCAGAGTGGACAGTGAGAGAGAGAGACAGAGAGAAAGGTCTTCCTTTGCCCTTGGTTCACCCTCCAATGGCCGCCGCGGCCGGCGCGCTGCGGCCGGCGCATGGCGCTGATCCGATGGCAGGAGCCAGGAGCCAGGTGCTTTTCCTGGTCTCCCATGGGGTGCAGGGCCCAAGCACCTGGGCCATCCTCCACTGCACTCCCTGGCCACAGCAGAGGGCTGGCCTGGAAGAGGGGCAACCGGGACAGAATCCGGCGCCCCGACCGGGACTAGAACCCGGTGTGCCGGCGCCGCTAGGCGGAGGATTAGCCTAGTGAGCCGCAGCGCCGGCCTGATTTGACATTATTTTTAAACTAACAAAAGCCCAACCCATTGCCTAATAGTTAAACCTCACTTAATATAGGTTAGAAAATCTTATCCTAAATAGTATTTCAATGTATTCTGTAACAGAAAGGAATGCATTGACAGATCACAATGTATTTTGTATCAGAGAATGATATATTGATGCACTAGAAAATACTTTTTCTGGTGTACACAAACTTATACTCGTTTTAAATGAGAATTATGTAAAGACAATATACTCATAGTTAACAACCTTGATATTGGGGGAAGATGATGGATGTCTTCTACTTCTTTTAATTTTCTTATTTTGCATTATTAGTACATACAATTTTTAAATGTTGCACTATTTGACCAACTTAAAATTTCCTTAATCTTTGAGAATGTGCTCTGCATTTTCACTTCTTCCTGCCTAACCAAAAAGCTATCTGAATTGCAAAGGACTGACTCTGAGATTTGGTGGCTTGAAAATGAAAATTACAAGGAAGGACAGAGCCAAATTTCTACCCAAGAATGTATGCTTACTGTTCTTGGGGGTGAAACACCCAAAGGCCCTTGAAATGAAAAAAGCACACATGGTGGGACTAATTAAATGAAATGCTACTTAATTGCCCTGTGGAGCACACTGTCATGGGTTAATATGATAAAATTATTTCAGCAATTCCCAAAAAATAGGATGTATACATTTTAAGTTCCTAAAGTAATAGTAGAAAGAGTTTCATGTCATAATTTCACTTCTTATGGCTATTACTCATTACCAGATACATTTTCTAAAATTACAGAAATAGGCAAAGTAAAGCCTTCCTTCATCTTTCACACCCCAGCCACCTTGTTCAAAAAGGAAAATAATGCACCTTTTGAGATTTGATGGATTCTATAAACCCCTTTTTCAAGTAGATTGAAAACCTAAGAAGGGCAAATGTGTGAAATGCTTATTAAGCCAACCAATGACTGGCAGGTATTTTTTTACAAAGAGAAAGTGTTAAATCACTGTGAAAGAAAATGTGTGATAATTTCCCAGCTGTGAGGATTATTGAATAGCTCTAACAGTACAGTGCGGAATTAATTGCTATTCAAATAACACATGACATGGATGCAGAAAAGGTAAGATGTAGAACACAACTGCATATGCTTTGTGTAATTCCTTATTGCAGACTGCTAGCAGATCACCAACTCTGCTCCCTCTTCTTTCTGGGTACACAGTTATCTGCTGCTTACCAGTTCTCTTTGTGCTTCTATGTAGGCACAGGACTGACAGCTAGCCTGTAGCATATGAGCAGAAGTGAAGAAGTGATGTATGCCTCTCCCAAGCCTGACCACACAGCCCTCAAATCTGCAATCTTGCATTCTGCATCTCCTGACAGAATGAAGAGGATCCTGAGGACCTAAACGGGATGGCCACAAGATGGAAAGAATCTTCACTGCTTGGAGGAGAGCTACCTGACCAGGAACACACCCACGGCCTGTTGCAAGATCACTAGTCTGCTAGGTATATGTCTATGTTGAGGCAGGTGTTAGCTCTATGCAAAGGCTAAATCTGCTCTGACTATAAACAGAGAACTAACTGGAGCAATTGCTCTGACTTAAGAACAATCTTGCTTTACTGCTGTATAGTATTCTCTGTCTTAAATGTGCTGTACATTGTGATTTAATGCTACAACTAGTACTCAAACAGTATTTTACACTTTATGTTTCTGTGCGGGTGTAAACTGTTGAAATCTTTACTTAATATATGCTAAATTGACCTTCTGTATATAAAGAGAATTGAAAATGAATCTTGATGTGAATGGAAGGGGAGAGGGAGCGGGAGAGGGGAGGGTTGCGGGTGGGAGGGAGGTTATGGGGGGGCCCATTGTAATCCATAAGCTGTACTTTGGAAATTTATATTCATTAAATAAAAGTTAAAAAAAGAACAATCTTGCCCAAGGGGATCTTTCAACTTCATATCAGGCTTCCTGTGACATTCAAAAGTGCCATTGATGGAAAATTGTTTTCTTAATTACGGATAACTCAAGACAGAGGTAGTGACATCCACATTGCTAATTACCCACTGGTGAAGAAATTTAGTGATCTCTGCTTGTTTTGGAAGAGTGCTAAATTTTTGTTAAACAATTATTCTAATCATTTGCAGATAAAGTAGGAATCAAAATATGGTCTGAACATAATTCTCAAACCATCTTTTAAAACAAATTTTCATACATTATGTATTAACATATCATCCCTGCTTTTAAAATATTATATTTACCTATGAAACAAGTATATCAAAATGTTTTAAAAATTCTTTTTGTGTGTGTGTGTGTGTGCTCATTCCATTCTTTGTACTTTTAGGCATTATTTGAAACACTGTAAAAGAAAAGGCAAAATAAAAGCAAAAAAAAAAAATAGCAAACACAGAACAAAACATTTTTCCTTTAGGATCCTAGGTTAAAAACAAATCTCTAAGGTCATTATATACAATCCCTACCTATGAGGAAAGATGGAACTTCTTGAAGATCAAGGAAACTGATCTTAGAGATATAACTGCTGTTATGGTTCAGGCAAGTCTGGCAATTCTATGGAGATGAATGAGAGCCAGTTAACCCATCAAAATCAACCAGCAATATGTTTTGACCAATGAGGTTATTCATGACCAAACTCTTTTTCCCTTGCATAAAAGTCATAAATGTTTAGTCATCCAAACTGCTCAGTGCTCCAAGTTGTGATCATATGAATCTTACCATTACAAAGAAAAGTATATTTAAAAGAATGGAGTCAAATCAGACAATAATGAGATGCCTCAGACCAAAATGACATTAAATGTTTTTTTTTTTTATTGAACAGAAAAAAAAGATAAAACATGGAAGTTGAATTCACTGAGCAAAAGCAGCTCTCCAGGTGAAGCTGCTATACTTTGTGCTGAACAACCGTATGAACTGAGAGTATACAGAATACATATAATATATAAGTTACCTCAACAGCAAAGGAGAAGAAGTAGAATACAGTTTTTGAAGATAAAATTTGGTGAAGTGACAAATTTAGTTGCTCAAATTTTCTAGCCCTTATCCACCTAAATTCAGTATGGTTCTACATACATGCATTCAGCATGTGCATACTGAATTCCCATTTTAATAGAAGCTGCTTTGGAGGAAGATTTTTTAAAATTTCATATTTACTTGATGTGCCACTCAATTTTTAAAACTCTGCATTTGATATAGGTATGTGTGTGTGTATTTACACACACTTTCAAAACCCCAAATCTTTGTTGATATGTAAAAGGGTCATGCTGTATTTTTAAATTAGAATTGGAGAATTCCAGTCATTTCTCCTGTGTGTCTAAGAAACTTCATATGTTCTCAATGCACCCACACAGTTAGGTGGGTTGACAGTTATGTCAAAAATACTTTATGAAAAGAGGGAGGTTGCTCATGCGAATTGGCAACCTTTGTGTATGGTTTCCTGTTGGAGCAGCCTGCCTCCCTTTGACATCTCACAGTCAAAGATGAAAGGAAAACTGTTTACTTTGAAGTCTAGTGAACACAGTTGTACATTTTCTATCATCCACCTTCAACTTGGCTTATTGGGCTTAATAATGTAAGATGACAAATACGTTACACCCAGTACACAGCATTTAAAAAGTACTGAAGAAACATTTTTATAGACAATACCTTTTTTTTTTCATATGTTAAACATCAGCTTCTATGGGAAACATTGCCAGAATGGTTTTGTTACCACTTTATAAACATTCTAAGCCAAACAAACAGCACAAAGAACATCAAAGTCATCTTTTTTCCAATAGCTGTATCAATTACTGGAGGCTAATCCTAACATATATACTACTAAAGGGGAGAAAAAGAAGAGAACTCGTGACACATTGCAAAGATAGGACTACAGCATCTTAGTTGTACGAATGATCTTAAGGTGCAGAAAGAGGAGACTCTCTAGAAGGTGATGGTGTGGTTTCCTCAGGTGGAAAAACTGTAAGTGTGCAAGCTCGAATGCCACCCAGGGACTCTGGGAGATCAAAAACCTTATGCCATTCATCTTTATCGGGATCATATTTCTGCACTATCTCTACCATACAACGGTTATTCCAAGAGTACCCACCAACCACATATATTTTATTTTCAAAGACAGCGACCCCAACATCACTCTGCCCTCTTAACATGGCAGCAATTGGGGTCCACTGATCAAGGATAGGTGAATAGTATTCACAGCTTAGGACATCATCGTAATCACTGGTTCCTCTGAAGTGATTGCCGCCAATGACATAGAGCCTTTCTCCCACTGTACACATACAATGCAGACCTCGCACAGTGGTCATTGGCGCCTTCTGGATCCATTTGTCAGTATCAGGGTCAAAGCACATGAGCTCCTTTTGGAAAGTATCATGAGTAATTCCTCCTAAAGAATGAAAAGAATAAGCATAAGGGATTATGTTAAAAAGGCAGAAGTAAGTAATGGCTCACCGTCATAATCAATTTTTAGCAACACATTAAGAAACATCAACAGTGTTCTTAAAATGTCTAAACTCTATAAATAATTTTTCTGGAAATTATATTTTCATCTTATTAAAGGATAAAAAATTGCTTGTACTATTGGGAGACCCCATGGTATTTAAGAGGCTTTACTGAACTGAAGATAGAGTTTGGCCACTATTGGGTCTGTGATAAATCCCAACTACAAAGCAACACTCACTCCTTGCTATATTTTAGTGAGTACTCTCTGGGTACCAAGTAATGGGCCAGAGTACATTAAATTCCAATTGCCCATTTCCTCAACTTGCCAAATAAGAATATCTGCTTCTTGTTATGCCGTTAGTGTGATGTTCAGGTCAGATACTTATGGAAATGCTTTGAAAAGATCTCTTTAAACAAATAAGGTTATAAAATGCTCTGAACTATTTATTCTTAGGGAGGTTTTGGTGGGTTGGGTGAGGAAGGGTAATATCATCTGTGTCAGAACAATTAAAAAGGTAAAAATTATAATGCTCAATATATGTGAAATTTCATACATGCAGAAATTTATTTTTGATCTGTTACATTCATATCATCTGCTAAGTGTATTCTTGGATCACATATAAATTGGCCTCTAAAATGAAAGCATCAGGGCTGACACTGTGGTACAGTGGGTTACATTTCCACTTGCAACACCAGCATCCCATAGAAGAGTGCTGGGTCAAGTCCTGGATGCTCTGCTTCTGATCCAGATTCCTAGTAATGCGCCTGGGAAATCAATAGAAGATAGCCCCTGCTACCCATGTGGGAGACCTGAATGGGGGTCCTGGCTTTAGCCTGGAGCAGCCCTGACTTGTGCAGCCATCTGGAGAATACACCAGTGGCTGGAAGCATGTGCATGCACTCTGTCACTCTACCTTTCAAAAATATATACATAATGTTTTTAATGTTAGTATCAGACTGTATCTTCTACAGACAAGGGAAAGAACTGAGATAATGTTTAACCAAATCATTTTAATCTATATTATAGAGTGTCTAGATAGCAATCACTATTTACTTCTGCTCTTTAAACACTTTTTATTCTGAATTTTTAATTCTGATTTATAGAATTCCCAGAAAGTGAAACAGTACTCATTGTTGGAAAATCAGCAGTTTTTCCTATTCTATTCATGGTCAGGAATATCATTTGCGCAATATATACCAATTATGCCAAAGCATCAATAAAACAATTCTGGTGTCATTTCCCCCCGCCCCCCAGAGGATTTGTAGCTCTCATTATAATGGTATAGTAGCTACACATATAAAATAGGGAAATGGTGTAAATCATTGACTAGTGGAGCCTATGGTTTCTGGGATGGCTATTTCAATATTAAATATCCCATAGTTGCTCATGCATTGATACCAGAAACCTGCTAATCACATGCCACAGGCCTATCACTGATCCTTCTTGATTACATAAGGCAGCATTCAAAGAATCAGACCACAAACATCACCTTAACACCCTTGTTCTCCAATAATCTAACTGTTGGTCTGCCACTGGCAGGCCTCCAATTAGGGAACATAACTTTCACAAGTAGACTGTGTCAGGGCCAAATGATAAGAAACTGCCTTACAAATAAATATCAACACCAGAGGTGATCAAGTAAAGACTTCTTTCTGAATTCTATGGAAGGGTTATTTGAACATCAACAATTTGAGAATGAAAGTTGTTTCTAGGACAGTGGAAATAAACCTCAACCATCATAGAATTTTATAATAGAAACATATCTACATGTACCAAAAATACAGATAAATACCACGGAATTAGAATCCCATTATAATTCTAGCAAGAAAGGAAACACATACATGTTATGAGTTATGCTAAAAGAGAATAGACATCATGTGTTATCATTTGGGAGCATACTTTAGGCATTATGTTATATGATGATTTATTTCCTCACATGGGTTAGCTGCATTTTAAATAAAAAACATCATTGCAATAGAGAACACATGAATGGTATTTGTTATAATACAGAGTAATGGAATGGAAAGCAAATTAGAGAATCTGAACACTTTTTAGTTTCTTCTAAGTTATACAATTTATAGCAGGAATGGTTGGCTGCTGGTCTTGTGAACTTACAGAATGCTTATTCACAGGAAAATTAACACACAAAATGCCTTCTAAAATAAACATTAACATTTTGATGTAAAAAAGATCATAGAGCTAAAAGCTCACATTTTTTGTGTGTGTGTCCACATGGCAATTATTTACCTGAAATATACATCACTCCTCCATATACAGTTCCAGCATGGCCATAGTGGGGCTCACTCATTTTGGCAACATAGGTCCACTCGTTTGTTCTTGGATTGTAACATTCTACTGTAGCTGTTGCAAAAAAAAAAAAAAAAGTCAAGAGAATTATCTTTAATTTAAAATCTAGCAGTGACTTTTTTTCTTTAGGTGGAAGAACAATAACATCAAATATCTGAAACATATCTATTACAGATATGAGAGATCCTTCTGAGGCACTATTAATCTTTGAGACTACATTAGTAATGTAAATCATTCATACATGTTACATTAAGAGCAGACAATGTAAGAATCTAACACACTACTGTCACTGAAGAAATTGCTAAGAATTCTTTTCTTTTGGAATCTGGTTATATCTTTATAATTTGACATTTCTCAAATTTTTTTGCTCTAAAATATGAGAAGGTGAAAAACTCAACTCTGGGACCCCATGTTGACATACCATATAGGAACAAACATTAATGTATATGAAGCAAAATTTTAAGTTAAGAATGAAAGTATACACAGTGAAGCCTATTACTTTACTTCAATTCTAGATCACAAAATGGACACTAAATTAAATATCTTTACATTTATATATTAAAGTTAATAGTTTTTACATTTCCCACTACTACTGCAGCAAGTACTATTCTTAACCTGAAGATGACTGGCAGCATATAATGTTATGATCTTAATTATGGGCAGACATTGTGACATAGCAGGTTAAGTTGCTGCTTGGGACACTGACATCCCATATGGGAGTGCCAGGGATCAAGTCTTGCCTCTGCTTCTTCCCATCCGGCTTCCCACTAATGCACCTGGAAGATAGCAGATGATACTTGGGTTCCTGCCACCCATATGGGGAGACTCTGATTGAGCTCCTGGCTCTCTTCCTTTCCATCTGTAATTCTGCCTTTGAAATAAATAAACCAACCTTTAAAAAGACCTTTATTATAACTACTTCCTCTCTGTAGTAAATGTATCATCTCTAGTATAAAGTGTTTTGGAGAAGTGACCTCAACTTTTTAAAATATCTTTCAATCTGTTATAACTGCAAGAAAAAAAAAACAATGACAGTTCAGATAGAAAATGCAATCTTTGTTAAAGGCAGAAAGAAATAAAGCTTTCATGAGGACTCTGGTCAAAAACACAAAGTCAAAATTGACTGAAAGCTGATAATAATTATTGTAGATTCTGCCAATTGCTAATCCAATTTCTTATCTTCCCCAACTTTTCTTTTTCCCAAAAGAACTACAACCCTTCTCAGGGAAGCACTGCAACAAGCCCCAAACAACATTCAACTTAGTAAGTTCCCTGGAATCTTTGGTCAATCATATGACACATATTTTTAGGCAGTGATATATAAGTAGAAGTCTATTGAGTGGGACTATTTGATCAAGCCACTGGAATAAGTTTTAGCCATTTGTGACCAAATGCAATTCAAATTGATGAATCCATCTTTGAAAATATTCCCTATTTGAAAAACAACACTGACAAGAGGTAGAGGATAAGGTGGACCTGCAGAAAGCAGAAAAAGAAGAGGGTAGAGTCACTTTTCTGTTATAATCAATAATTTCATTTCTTCATCAAGTTCACTATATGATGTTCTTTTTTCTCCTCCAACACACCTATATCACACCATTTTCAATAGCCTCTACCAGTTTCCTTTTCTATTTGAAATAAGGCTGGACATCGAAAGCCCAAGACTTTGAAATTTTCATTTTGATATACTCTCTTGCTGGCTTTGTTCATTTTATTTCATGCCTGGCTCCTAATCAACTCTCATATATTTGAAAAACTTCCATCAAACAGCAGGTTCCTACAAAATCATTCCCCCAAAATAAAGGGCTATTTCCACAATTAATAGAAAGTTAAACTGCCCCTTGTCCTGTTTTTTACTATTTCCTGTCACTGAATGTCTTAAGAAAAAATAAGTGACAAATAACTACATATTTAAGGAATGCAGTGTAATGTTTTGATACATGTATACATTGTGCAATGAATAAATCAGAATTATATCTAGCACCTCAAATATTTATCATTTCTTCGTGGTGAGACATCATTTTTAAAATGTTCATTTCTATTTGCCTTTACCATGACTTATCCAACAATCAAAATCCTACAGAAAATATATCACTACCTTTTTCTCAACACTCAACAGAGGATCTAGTGTATTGATTGGCTTGCCATTAGCAATGTGATTAATGGGAAGATTTTCGTGTAGTAAAGTAATGTACTCACACATCCTGAAACAGAAAAAGAATTTTTAAAGACTTCCAGAGATAATTTTCTCCACCTATTTCAAGTCACACACTGTACTCTTCTTAGTGTAGGACTCTGACTCTGCCTTTAATTTTGAAATTTATATATTGTAACTGTCCTTTCTTATGTCAAATTCAAATTCTGATGTGACTTCCATTAGTTCCCTCTCATTCTTTTTATAGTGGAATAGAAGCTGAATAGATATTTACTCTATTATTAATATTTTCCTACAGAGAAAGATAATACTATTTGTCTGTCAGAGAGATAATTACATTTTTTCCCTAAGGGAAATTACAAGAATCTACTTGTATTTTCTCATACTGGAGTCTCTCAGTGCAAGGCGGCTGTTAACTGCTAACAATATAGCTGTACAACAGTTCGTCAATCCTAAATAATCTCCTTTAGTTTTCCCTATCCTTTCATCTTTATTGTCAACCTTTAGAGTTTCTCCATGTAGAACTGTTATTAAAACCAATGGAATTTAGTTTTAATTAAGAAGTAGATGTACATGCTCTTATTTCCATTTTTTGGATCTCTAAGACAGTTGGATACGTTAGTGACAACTTTCAAGGTATGGATGATGTGAGACAAGGAGTTGGAGACACAGAGCAGTACTTCCAGCATGGACTGAGAGTTGGAAATGGTTAGGAGGCAACTGGGAAATTCTACAGACATCAGCAAATCCCAGCCCATGGACCTACTCTAATTGACTATCTGTTTTTGTATGACTACCCCAAAAGATAAAAAATATGAATGGTTTTACATTTTTAAAGAGTTAGAAAATAAAACTATTTTGTACCATATAAAAATTATATGAGAGGCCGGTCCTGTGGCATAGCAGGTAAAGCCGCCACCTTCAGTGCTGGCATCCCAAATAGGTGCCAGTTTGAGTCCCAGCTGCTCCACTTCCCATCCAGCTCTCTGCTATGACCTGTCAAAGCAGTGGAAGATGGCCCAAGTCTTGAGCCCCTGTACCCATGTGGGAGACCTGGAAGAAGCTCCCGACTCCTGGCTTCAGATCTGCATAGCTCTGGCCGTTGTAGCCATCTGGGGAGTGAATCAGTGGATGGAAGATCCATCTCTCTCGCTCTCTGCATCTGCCTCTCTGTAATACTGTCTTTCAAATAAATAAATAAATCTTTAAAACATCACACGAAATTCAAATGTCAGTGGTCATCAGTAAAGCTTTACTGGAGCACAGCATTACCCATTTGTCTATGGCTGCTTTTGCACAACAGAGTTAGTTGTGACAAAGGTTGAATGGCCCACAAGCTAAAAATAGACATACTTAGGACCCTTTACAGAAGTTTTCTGATACCTATCATGGTGGGAATGCATGTGGAAGTGGGAGATCATAATGAAACACAGGAACCCAGCATGGGGTAGGGAGGCCAATTGAGACTTCCCAATAGGTACCACCTCTTAAAGGTCCCACCACCTCTTCATGCTGCCATGAGTCAAGCTCTCAATGCATCAACACATGGTGGGGATAACATAGCATCCGCTTATCTTAGTCCAATCAAAATACAATTGTTGAGAGATCCTTTTAAAACAGAAATATGATCATGTCATTCCTATATGTAAATAGGTCCAAGGCTTTCCATGTTCCTCAGATTGAAAGTCATTTTTCACCAATAGCTACCACAATCTAGAAGCACTTCTGCCACCATTTACGCACTTGCTTGCTTCACTCTAGCCACTCTGTCCTCTTCGTTGTTCTTGGAGCACTGAAAAAAAAACCCCTATCTCAGGAAGTTTACACTTGCACTCCTTGGAATGCTTTTCTACCATATATACCTACAGCTCATTACTTAAATCTTTGAATTCTCTGTTCAAATAGCATACCAAGATGAAACCTTACATTATCACTATTAAAATTATAACCTATTTTCCTATAAATCCTCATTGTTGCCCTTGTCTTCTATATTCCAAAATTCTAAATGACTATAGTATGTTTTGCTTATTATGTCTTACTAGAATGTAAATACCATGAGGGCAGGCATTGTATCCCATCATGTAGAATTCTGCCTGCTGCATATTGTCACTATTTACAAATAAATGAATGAACACTATGAGAAACGGTGACTTGATCAGCCCTTGCCCTGACTGTTGATGAACAACTTAATATGCTATCCCTCTTAGTATTTTTGTTTGTTTGTTCTACTTAATACTTTTGGTTGAATACTGTAATCAATACACAATTATTCTTAAGTGCTGAAACTTAACTGAAAAGTGATCGCTGTTAAATATAAGAGTGGGAATAAGAGAGGGAAGAGATGTGCAATTCGGGACATGCTCAAGCTGACTTACCTCAAACGGTAGAGTTAGAAACATACCAGGGGATTCCAATTCAATCCCATCAAGGTGGCATGTACCAATGCCATCTCACTAGTCCCAGTGATCAATTTCTGTTCACAATTGATCATAATGATAGGACTAAGAACCAAAGGGATCACATAAACAAGAACAGTGTCTGCAAATACTAGCTCATAGAATCAAAAAGGGAGAGAACGATCCAACATGGGAAGTGAGAAACACAGCAAACCCATAGAATGGCAGATGTCCTAAACAGCACTCTGGACTAAGAATCAGCCCTTAAGGCATGCGGATCCGGCTGAAAAGCCCATGAGAGTATTTCAGGCATGGAAAGCCAAGACACTCTGGGGAAAAAAAAAAAAACCTAAATGAAAGATCTCCACGAGTGAGATTCCAGTGGAAAGAACAGGTCATCAAAGAAGGAGGTACCTTTCTCTGAAGGGAGGAGAGAACTTCCACTTTGACTGTGGCCTTGTCTAAATATGATCAGAGTCGGTGAACTCAGGGGGTTTCCATAG